ATTAGTATACAAGAGTTGAAAAAACGGTATACTAGTGGTGGAAAAACTATTTTTCCGAAACAAACAAAATAAATTTGATTTTTCCTCAATAATTATTCTTAATTCGAGTAAATTATTTTGAAAATTTTAAAAAAAAGTATTCTCCTTTAAGTAATTTGTATACTGGATTTAAGTAAAATGTATAGTCGGAATACACTGACAGAAATTTTTTCCGGTGGCGAATTATAGAATTTACTTGTCCCCAGTATAAAAGTGATAGGTAAAAAAGTTTCGGAAGGCAGGTAAAGAAAGTACCTGGAATCAGTAAAACTTCGTTTTAAAATGAATAAAAAAAATACTGAGTCTAAATACAGAATATACCACTCCTGAGTAGACTACAAGCGGTTGAAGAAGTAATAAGTATACAAGTTTTATGAAAATAAAGTACTTGTATTTAAGTAGTCTTTCTACTTGGAATCAGTATAATGTGAGCGGGAGCGTGACATCCGTCCCCAATAAGATGTCAGTCAAAGGCATTTTTACAATCTTTTAAATTTGAATCTTTAAATGTATAATCTTACTGATTGTTAATCAAATTCTATGATGCCCAGATTTTTTATCTAATGATCATTTTAAAAATAAGCTTTATTCTTTTAATCTTTTAAAATTGGTTTTTTTTATTTTCAATCATTTAATATTCAATCAAATTATAAAAATTTTTCTTTTTTTAATGTTTATCATTTCGTTGAACAGTCAACTTAAGAAATTAGGACTGGTAAGTTATCTTGCGTCGGTATAGTAGAAAAAAAAATTCAACTAGTGTCACTGTTTTCTAATAGATGACAGTAATTACACTGTTTTCAATCAAAAATTAAAAATACTTATATGACTTTAAATTTTGAATTGTTTAATAGCAACTTTACTTACCAAAAATAAATATTAGATTGATCTTCTTGAAATGGAGCATAATTTTCTTCAAAACCAATTACTTATATCGATATTTTTCATCGTTAGAGATATACCACATCAAGTTATATTGAGTTAATTTCTTTACAATATCAATTACACAATTCAAAATAATAAAAAAATACTTTACTTTTAAATTGAATTTTTCTTCAATACATTTCCTTTTTTTGTTTCATCAATCATTTAAGTTACTGAATTACTTGCTATTTCTTCAGTTAGTTTGTGTTTTAATTGACTATCAGTAAGACAGTCTTCTAGTATTATCGTAATTATAAATAAAATAAAATATATTATTTGTATCATTAATTTACGCTTAGTTTAACTTTTCTAATAAAGTTAGTTTCTTCCATTGTGTAATGAAATTTTTTAAACAGGTTTTTTTTCAATATAATTTTTATTTCAAACTCTTTTTTCATTAATGACATATTTTTTAAAAAACAAAATAAATTTACACACAAATAAATTATATATTAAAGAGAAATAAAATCAAGATCCTATTAAATTTTTATTATTACTCACTTTAGTTCACACGACAATTAGTTTTAACACAAAAAAGTAATTTTTTGGGTAAATATTAAAACACATTTAATATATACATATTCATAATTCTGTATTGAATTAAATTTCATTTTTCAGATCGATTAATAAACATAATTTGTGACAGTGACATTGAATATTGTAGAATAATGAATGAAACTACACGACAAAATCATTCTCGAGCAATTCAACATACAATTGACTTGTACATTAATAATTTACAAGAGTCCTCGAGAAATGGAAGGTACTTATATAATTTGTTAATTTATTCAATCATTTTATATTAAATTTAAATAATTTGTTATAATATCAATTTATATATAGGATGACATTGTCAGAATATTTGTAGGCAGTAGTTGAACGCACAAATATTCGACGGGAGCTGAGACAACGTGGCTCATATTTGGAAGTGTAGAAAACCAAAGTTAAAGAGATATCAGCAAATGTAAATTTTCTTGAATATAAATAAAAGTTATACTTATAACTTCAGGAATGATTTTTGAATTCTTTAATTGACCCTGATTATTTTATTTTAAAATAATTGAATTGAGTAGTGATTTATATTAAAATTTATTAACAAATTTATATTCATATTATATTTATATTTAAATTCAGTTAAATTAAGGTATTCATTAAAAATACTGATTTATTTTTATAAAAACTTAAGTAATAAAACTTTTTTTCTTCGTTGCACGAAAATCGTTTATGTTTATTAAAGAAGAGAATAATACTGACAGACATTATTTTTGAAGTTTTTCAACTTTTTAATAATTCAGTTTTCAAATTTTTTTCACTTGGATTACGTTATTACGCTAACATTAAGATAAAAATGTTATTATCATTAGATTATAAGCCTAAATATACTTATTTATGTAGTGGGAATTACATGACATTACATGAGCCAGAAAGAAGACTTTTTTTTGTATAAGTATTTTTAATTTTTGATTGAAAACAGTGTAATTACTGTCATCTATTAGAAAACAGTGACACTAGTTGAATTTTTTTTTCTACTATACCGACGCAAGATAACTTACCAGTCCTAATTTCTTAAGTTGACTGTTCAACGAAATGATAAACATTAAAAAAAGAAAAATTTTTATAATTTGATTGAATATTAAATGATTGAAAATAAAAAAAACCAATTTTAAAAGATTAAAAGAATAAAGCTTATTTTTAAAATGATCATTAGATAAAAAATCTGGGCATCATAGAATTTGATTAACAATCAGTAAGATTATACATTTAAAGATTCAAATTTAAAAGATTGTAAAAATGCCTTTGACTGACATCTTATTGGGGACGGATGTCACGCTCCCATGTGAGCCAATGTATTTTGTTTATCTCAAGTAGGTAGATAATAAAAGAAGATTACAAAGTTTACTTCAGTTGATAATATAGTTTTCTTACACTGAGGATCTTCCTTACTTACCACAAGTGTATTTTATACGGAGATCCCGTATAAAGCGTACTTATGCTAAGTATAATGCTGTTTTACACTTCAAAAACCATGTTCTCACATTATGAATCCTTTTTTATTAATAAGAAAATACTTGTTACTTGATTCAAGTATGTCAATTCTTCACTGCAAGTATATTATATACTTAAATTAAGTATACGAAGTACTCATGCTAAAATTTTTTTCTTATTAAATTTAAAAATTTCAAAATATAAATAATCATATTAATAATAAAAAAGTTACTGTTATACCCATTGGTATTGGTCAATTTAAATTAGTGACCATTACTGATGAAGTAATTTAATGATTAAATATTCAGTAATTAATAAATAGATGAAAAGTAATCTTATAACAATTACAACAATTACTGTTGTACTTTTAAATACGTGGAGCTGCTACACTTACACTGGGCAGCAGCTCGAGATATTGAAATATGCAACAATATTTGTTGCACTTATGAAAAAATTATGATTATCTCTATGAATTAATAATTATACAATCAATCATTTATTTATCATCATCAAAGGTATTATATCGAATAATTTATTTCTGAGCGCTAAGTTGGAAAATAAACACTCTACAGGCATAGTCTAACTGGAGCAACTTGGAGTTTTTAAAAGCACAACACCAATTTGTTGTTATTATCATTCAATTATGATTCTTTCTCTAAATTAATCAATGAACATTAAATAATTTTATTATGATTATTAAAGATTTAACATTAAGCCATTTATAGCTGAACGCTGGATTGAAAGATAAACTCCTAAAGCTCCTAACATGTCTTACTGCAGCAGCTTGAGGTATTGAAATGTACCACAATAATCGTTCCAATCACTGTAAAATTTCGATTCATTTTTAGAATTAATTAATAGACATGCAATTAATTATTAATTATTATTAAAGATTCTATAATCAATAATTTATCTCTGAGCGCTATATTACGAGTTAGACTTTTAACAGGCCCAGTGTAAGTGTAGCAGCTCCACGTATTTAAAAGTACAACAGTAATTGTTTGTAATTATTATAAGATTACTTTTCATCTATTTATTAATTACTGAATATTTAATCATTAAATTACTTCATCAGTAATGGTCACTAATTTAAATTGACCAATACCAATGGGTATAACAGTAACTTTTTTATTATTAATATGATTATTTATATTTTGAAATTTTTAAATTTAATAAGAAAAAAATTTTAGCATGAGTACTTCGTATACTTAATTTAAGTATATAATATACTTGCAGTGAAGAATTGACATACTTGAAATTAAGTAACAAGTATTTTCTTATTACTAAACAAGGATTCAATAATGTTAGAACATGGTGTTGAAGTTTAACAGCATTATTACTTAGCATAAGTACGCTTTATACGTGGGATTCTCCGTATAAAAATACCACTTGTGGTAAGTTAAGGAAGATCCTCAGTGTAAGAAAACTATATTATCAACTGAAGTAAACTTTGTAATCTTCTTTATTATCTAACTACTTGCGATAATGCACATATGGACCAACATGCAGAATCGGCTTATTCTGGTACTAAATTACTATTCTCTAGGATTGAGTGTAGTGATGAAAAATTTAAAATCAAGTTCGTTTATGATTGTACCGTACACTTTAAACTCATTGATAATAAATGTACTTGCCATCAAAACATAATTATAATCAAATGAGTATATGGTGTTTGCCGCTATTATACTTCTAGCTTCCACATTTTTTCTGTCTATATAGTCGTCACGATCGTTCTCTGAGTTTAATCTAAAGGCACGAGTTCACCATAGCCAAACTGTAATCACAGCTTGCCCAACTTCTACCAGGACCACTAGTACAATCCAAATAAATAACATTACAATTAAAGAAATTATTTAAATATTAACAGCATCTTATAATTTATTTTATAGGTATAATGTACTGTTTACACGAATTGCACAATAATTTGGGCATTATTTTTTATAACCATTTTAGGTTATGGTATGTTATGTATCGGGTTCTTTAATTTTTTGGGTGGTATCCGTGTCTGGCAGAAGTTGGCAGCCATGATTAGCAGTTTGCTAATGGTGAACTCGGGCCTAAAGTGTTATAAATATATTTGCACTCGTGGGTGGTGAACGATCTAGTGTATTTGACAATTAATTGTTTCTTTTCAATAAATAACCTAGATTCTGAAAAGTTTTCGTCTAAACAAAGCATACGAAGTAAAGTTTTATTACAATTTATGTTAGGAAGGCTTTAATTGGTGACATGAATAGCAAGTCAGGTGAATTTTGATGATTCAAGGTCCTACACATTGACAAATCTTCAACTCTGTGGGAGGTAAATATGTCATTGACTTTAAAAATTGATGAAAGTTTTTTTAATATTATTTTATCCATATTTACATAAATTATATTGTACTATTTCTAATAAATTTTATACTTGTATTGAATTTTATAAGCACTAACACTTGTGATTTCATATTAATACTTTTTCTCAAGTATTACTTCATTATTTAAATAATAATTACTACTGTCATGTTTCACGCAACCAATTTGTTAGTGGAGATAACATAGTTTGGCTTACAATAAAAAGATGTTCGAAATAAATCACGGCACTCCTAAATTGTGAGTCACGCGTCCTTGTTTGTTCAAACTCCAAAGTTATTACTAATCTCTTCCTTATTTAATCACAGTCATAATAATTGTTATTATTATTTTTTGTAGATATTTAAATAATCATAATGTCAGCACCACCGCCACCTCCACCCCCTGCATTTAATTTAGGAAATTCGGGTAGCAGTGATCAGGGGCGAAACCAATTATTACAGTCAATTAGAGCAGGAAAAACTTTAAAAAAAACAGTAACTGTTGATAAAAGTGCCCCTTGTATATCTGGTAAGTTTGTTCCTCTGTAATGTATATTTAAAAATTAATTCACTCTCTAAATGACTTTCATTTTTTTTTCTCACAGGCAAAGTGAAGAATGGCACGAGCAACAATTCCACTATTAATTCGCCTCAGTCTGGTACCGCTAGTAGTGTTAGTAATAACAACAACAGTACTCCAATGGGGCTTGGAGGCTTATTTGCTGGTGGAATGCCTAAGTTAAAACCCACAGGTCTCAGAAGTACGATTGTTGAAAGAGATTCATCGACTATTTCAAATTCTGGAAATAATCCAGCTCTTAGTGCCAATACTGTTGTAACTAATATCAATACCACTGGTACAATGAAACGAGGACCACCTCCAGTTCCACCGCCAGCTGCTCAAAAACCCCTTATATCTTTACCTCAGGTATGAATACAAATCCACAAATGTTCAACCTATATAATAGCAGGCTAAAAATAGAAGTACAGCTGAACATTGTACAAAAAAAACCTGTGACTAATTTTTGATTAACTTTTAAAAACAGATGTGTTAAGTAATATAATTGTAGACAATTAATAATTTTATTTTATCAATTTTAAAGCAAAGTACAACGGACGGACCAAATGAGTCACCAAATAAAGGCTTTGGGAAGCCAATGTTAGCTCCAAAACCGCCAGGAACATCGACATTACACAAACCACATCCACCCCCAAAAAAGCCGGAATTACTTGGAGGAAGTGTATCGCGAGCACAAAGTATGCGATTACCTCGATCACCACCAGTACTCGCACCAACACCTTCATCTCTTCATCAGTCTCAGGATTGTTTAAATGAAACCCAGCACAGGCCAATAAATCGTGTCTTAAGGCCACCAGTAGCAAGACCACCTTCACCACCTACATCTAAACCAGCTCCAGCCACACCAGTTTCTCAAGTTCTTCCACCAGCTCCTCCGCAAGGTCCTCCAGTAGCTTCTGTTACAAGAGTGGCGCCGCCTCCTCCTGGAAGACCTACAGTGATGGCACCCAGTATGCCTCCACCGCCCCCACCTCCGCCGCATCGTTCGAATTTAACTCATCAAAGACTTGCACCTTTGCCACCAACACCTCCAACTAGAAATTTATCATTGTCTAATGGGCAATCATCAACGAGCAACAATTCTGCTGATTTAGAAGTCAGATTTAGTGAAATGTTTCATTCTATCATCACTTTTCCATCACCCGAGCCATTTCGAGGAGTTCCGAAACTTTACAACAGCAAAAATGGTGAGGTTAATAACCAATCACACTCGCTTCTTGGATTTACACTTAGACGTCAATCTACCCCATTAAATGTTTAAATTTCAATCTTTTTGTTCCATTTATATTTAGTTCTCATTGTAAGCACCTTCAATTTTTCCTTTCTGTCAGCATGAATTATTCAACTTTCTTTTCTCTTAACATTCAGGAGATGTTTATCACATTATTCTAATTACTTTACTTTGGTTTATGTCTTATATTATTAACTAAGACTGTTAAATAAATTTATAGAATTTTAAGATGCACGTCTACTTTCTTTATATGTATTCCATCATCTATTTTGTATTTAAAAACTACTCGATCATGGCTATGGAGCATGTAATACAGCATCCTAATTTATATGTACAAAATTTCATTAAGAATAAAATAGCATTTAATTAATTAACCAAATATTACAGCAGCTAAACAGCAAGCTCCGGCACCACCTCAATCAAATCCTAGCCCTAGTTCTGTTCTTCAATTAAATGCCTCAGCAGGGGGGAAACAGTGGCAACATAATGCAGCGTCATCAGCATGTTAAAATAATTATTTGTAAATTTAACTTGTATTTATAATTAATAATACTAATCATTATTAATTTATGAAAAAATAATTTTTTTGTATATATATAAATAATATGCCGTAAATGTCGAAAAATTTAGTCATAGCCATTGGATATATTTATTTCGATTGAAGCCAAACGCGATTATTACGCGCAATTAAATATAACAGACCACGTTGGTCTAGATTAATATTCAATAAATTAAAAAATTCTATTGTATTTGCAATGTAATAATTATACACTAAATTGTAATTCGATAGTCTTGCAATGCACTTGTTGTAAAATGATAACTTGTAATAAGTAAAATTCCAAATTTTTATGTAACATAATATTCTGTTTCTATTTGATATTTTGAATAGCATCAAGCAGAAACAGAATCCACTGTAACTAAATTAACTATCTCTTTTTAACATTTGATTGCCATAAAATTTTATTGTATGTTATTAATATTGTTTTCTTAATTATTTAAATAGAAAAAAATGTTTTAGACAAATCTACAATGTTTGAATTAATAAGTCAATATTATTAATAGTTTGAATAATTATTCTTTTTTTATATTTTAAAAATAATAAATGAAAAAGTAGTAAACAAAGAAGAAAAAAATATCAACACGTATACAACAATTATTCATTTTATTTAGATGACATGCAAACAAGAGTGAAAAGAATCAGCGAATTATTTTTGATCATTTACATTCGTTCACCATCGTTGTTTTAAAATGTAAAGTAACGTGGTATCGCGAATGCTTGAATTAGCTAAGGCCTTTTTAAAGGCAGTTGGTAACATGATTGAGCTGCATGAAATTGTTATTTTCCATGATAATCATATAAATAATATAAATAATGCAATACTCAATTAGTGCAGCATATTATTGAAACTTGGAATCAGTAAGAAAAATGATACATAATTCATATTTAATTAACTAATTCGCTTCAAGTTCTTTTTCTACAATCTTTCGGTATTCGTCGAATCCTCCTTCAACACATCTGACAATTCCTTTTTCACACACCCAAAGCTCTGTGCATACCATTCGTATTAATCGTTCATCGTGAGATACTAAGATGACACCAGCCTAAATAAATAAAATGTTAATTAATTAACAACAGAATTATAAATGTATTTTCTTCTTTCAATTTAGTTTTATTTAAAATAACTCATTTAAAAGTAAATAATGCTTTCGCCAGGATTATTTTTTGAAATATTTGTAAGAATATATCGTACTTTAAATCTTCATAATGGATAAAAGACGCTAGACCAGAAATGATTTCGTTTCTAGAGCGTGAATACATCCATTATTAAAGTTCTGAAGAAGTTGAAGTTTTTATATAAGAACCTTGCAACCAGAATGCAATTCATCTTCGTTTCAAGTTTACTTTTAAATGGAAAAAGTCTAAAAATAATAATAATTACCTGGCAAATATTCAAAGCTTTTCCTAGAGCTTCGATCGATTCGATATCAAGATGATTGGTAGGTTCGTCAAGAACAAGGAAGTTAGGATTTGCAGCACACATAAGAGCAAAAGCAACTCGAGACTTTTGACCTCCGGATAAAGAGCTTATTGTTTGTAAAGCTAGATCTCCACTTATCCCAAAGCTACCTAACATACGTCTGTACTCTTCAATAGGTTTACCTATAAATAAAGTGCAGTTATGAATCATAGTTCGGAAAAAGATCATGTAATAATTTACCTGGAAAATGATTCTGCAATAATTCCACAGAACACACTCTCATATCTAACTGATCAACATGATGTTGGCTGAAGTAACCGAACTTGAGGTTCCGATGGACATGTAGGGTTCCATGTGTTGGACTTAAACTACCCGTAATAATTTTTAATAACGTCGTCTTTCCTGCTCCATTTTCTCCAACAATACAAATACGTGACTGTAGTGTGGCAGTGAGATTAACATTAGAAAGTACGTATTCATTATTTGTCGAACCGGCATAGCGGAAAAAGACTTCATTAAGTTGAAGAATAGGCGGACTAAGTGACTCCACGTCAGGGAAACGCAGTGTCACTGTTGGCTCTTTCTCCACTGGTTTTAATTCAGGCCTAAAAAATGGAAAAATTTCATGAATAAATGTTATATAAAAATAAAAAATGAAGAGTTGCCATAGAATTATTTAAACTCACAACTTCTCAAGCATTTTGATTTTACTTTGCACACAAGAGGCACGATTAGCATTATAACGAAAACGATCAATGAACTCTTGAACATGTGCTCGTTTTGCTTGTTGAGCTTCATATTCGCGTTGCATATTTTTCTCACGTTCACCTCGGGTTTTTTCGAACTGTTCATAATTGCCACGATACGCTTCGATTTTCTGGCCTTTCAGGTACAATATATCTGTAGGAACCTGCAACAATTTATTTAACTAATTAATTTAAAGTTTTTAATTACGATATTAAATAAGTAATTGAATAAAGTTTTCGTACAGTATCTAAGAAATTTCTATCGTGAGAAACAACAAGTAGTGTTGTTGGCCACGACTGAAGGTATCGTTCTAACCAAAGGATTGCTTTGATATCCAACATGTTCGTCGGCTCATCAAGGAGTAAAAGATCAGGTCTAGAAAATAGAGCTCTGGCAAGAGCAAGTCGCATTCTCCAACCACCAGAAAATGATTTCGTAGGCCAAGATTGTCGTTCTACTGAAAATCCAAGTCCGGATAAAATTGCACTAGCTTTCGCTGGTGATTTATCCACTTCAGCATGTTGCATCGCTTCATAAACCTTTGCTAATTCTTCGCCAAGAGCATCACTCTTTCCTCCTTCTTTCTCAATAAGTATCTGAAGCTCAGCTTCACGTTTTAACAAAGAATTTCTCTCCTCATCACATTCTAATACCGAATTTAAAGCTGATGTATCATCACCAGCTACTTCTTGTTCGACATGAAGAACACGTATGTGTGATGGTATTCTCAGTTGCTTGCTGAAAAATCATTTGATTATTGTAATTATTAAATAATATTATTTTTTTATGAAAATTAATAGGTTACTTCTTTGAAAGAGTTTAAGTTATATTACATGATGGTAAATTATCGAAGATAAGATGATCATTCATTATTTTTAGAACCGTTGAACTTTGACTAATTACTAACCTAAATTATTCATTTAAATGCTAATCGCACAATAAGGAATAAATCGATATAAGAAATTTAAAGTTGATAACTAATAGTCTCATTGGAATAAACTGATAAATTTTTATAAATTTTGAATAAAAGAAAATTAAAACATCAAAGATTTCATTGTTAAAGATATCTACCTTATTCATATATGAAAATCAGATTTTTCATGTATGTGTAAAAGTAGATTGTCTTATTTACCTAGAAATCATACGAAGTAGTGTTGTTTTACCCAGACCATTTCGACCGATAAGACCATATCGTCTTCCAAAAGCTAATGTTAAATCAGCTCCTTGAAGCAAGATTTTATTTCCATATGCAACATCAAAGTTTTCAATTCTAATGTCTTGAGTTTTATTTGTGCCTCCTTTACTTTCCATACGGCTATCTTTTTTGCTCATCATTTGACTAGCACTTGCTAGTTCTATTGATTGATTTATGCTATTAATCTTTGTATTATTTCCAAGGTCTAATCCATTTCTTTTTCTTGTTTTTGCTGAAGCTTTGCCTCAGCTTTTTCTAACTTTTTTGCATCTACTTTCTGAAGGTATTAAAAAAAAAGGATTAATAGATGCAGTGAGTGAAAAAAATCTATTAGAAAATTATAATTATGATGATGATTAATTAAAATATTTATAACAGATTTGTACCATAGTATCGTCTCTAGTAGTCACCCATATACTTTTAATTTGTTCTACTTGAGCTTCTAAAGTTGCAGCCATTGCACCTAAGTGTACTGGGGCATTTAATACTTTATTCACTCCATTTTTTCGCCTTTCTCTTTCATTTTCTCCACCATCATATGAACCTCCTTTTAGGATGGTCAATAACTTGCTGCATATATCCCTAAAAATTTAATAAAAAATGAAAATTTCTTACATTATAAAAGATCAGTGTTTTTCATAAAATATTTCATCAAAGAAATATCTTTAAATAAATTTTTTAGTTAATAAAAATATTTTTAAAAAATAATGTACAGACCTAACCTCGTTTTCAGATTTCTCTGATACCTCATGTAAAACTTGTCCAATAGCTTCATAAACTTCTTCTCCATCTTCAAAATCGTCTTTAGAACTATCAAGAATCCCTGAAACACCACGTCATTCAATTCATTGTTAATCAAGTCTATTGTCAATACATGATTACTCCGTTTTAGGTTAAAAATAATGTTACCTTCGACGTAATGATATAAATCATCATCAATCGTTGGAAATTGACTTCTAATATATTCACTACACTCTGCCATATTCGTTTAAAAATATATTAAACAATTAAAGTTTCGTATTTACCAATGAACAATTTATTAATAATACTATGACAACTGGTATAAGTTTAACGTCAAAGTAGTCTTATCAAAAATTTTGTCAGACACATGTAACACATGACTAGTAATAGATGTATGGAGCAAATTAGTATTTATTCTTCAACTAGATTTCAAAAATGTAAAAGACAATTCTGAATAAAATTGATATAGGAACATATATAAAAGAAAATTCAGTTTTTACAAATATTGCAATTAAATAATAATAAAAATGGTTCAATTTGCATTAAATTTTTTGCCAGTAGTGATTATCGCGACATCTATAACTGCCGAAAAAAGCGGCTGTAGCTCTGCATTTGATTTTGGTATTTTAAATAATAAATATTCAAACCGAAAAAACGCTTATTATTATGTTAAATACATCATATGATTCAAACAAAACTTTTATTTATTATTGTTCAACTTTAAAGTTGATGAAAAAAATTCTTTCCAGTGTAAATTTTATTTTCTTTAGAAATTTAGCTGGAGAAAGAGCATGGGTCTTACCATGTATTCATAGACACACATTACGTGCTATAAAATAAATGAAAAAATGTCAAAAGATGCCAACAGTGTAATAACTTATAAACAGAAAAATCCCTAGATTATAAATATCGAGAAAAAAATATTCAAATGTGTTGAGTTCATGAACTATTGAAGATATAAATAACAACATAAAATTTAAATAAACTTTACTTTCAACATAAACAATTAATTTTTAATCATTTCGAATTAACATTTACAATTAATCGATCCATAAATTATTCACTTGATGAAATTTTCACAATCATCATGAATATAAACAAATCACATCATCTGAAGTGTGGTATGATTAATTGGCAAAAGATGTAAGTAGTATTAGAAATTTTACTAATTTAACTACATTATTTAGTTGATAAAGTACAGTAAATTAATGAAATAACATATAAAATAACTTTTGTGTATTTATTTTTGCAGTCAAAAATTAAAATCACAAAACATAATTTATGTCATTACTTACTTAATAATTCTAAATTAAAATACTTATATTGTAATAAGTACATAAATCTTATAATCTACAACAATATTGATAAGTTAAATATTAAAATACACAAAAGTATGTCCAAATTTATTACAATTTTTAAATACTATCTTAATGAAAAATTACACTATCTCCAATCTGATGTACATGAATCATAGTAATCATCCTCAACTACTTTGTCACTGCAATAATATACATAATAAGATCCAGAATAGATTGGCCTTTCTCGTAAACATCTTTGATGATTACGACATTCACATCTACAAAAAATATAATTAAAAAATTAAAATAATTTGTTTACATAATTATAAATTATTTTACATACATTGAAAATAAAATAATATTTTTCACTTACGGATTAGGTATAAAATCCAACGTGATTTGCAGTGCATCATCATACGGACACCATCCACAAGGAGCTGTACCACAAAAGTCTAATGATGTTTCATTGAACTTCATACTTTTTTTCAATCTTTCAATAATAATGTCTTTGGAACGTGATTCTGGTTGACTTATAGAATTAGGATTCTCTTTCATTGGATTTGGAGTTGTTTCGTCCTAGAATTTAAACATACTTTTATTAATCAGGAGCAAATTCAACAGGTTTTATTCAAGTATTTATTGTTCTTAGTATATTTACATATTGTTTTAAATTCAATCCTATCTAGTTATTATATAAGTTTTATTATTTTTTTTAATAATTATCTGAAGACTTCATTTTCTATTGATTTTTACTCTAGGTCCAACTATTACTTGTTGAATTGAATTATTTGTTGGATGGTTCAAATACAAATAAATGAATTCAGTGTACATAAAATTTAAAAAAATTGATAATTTTATCATGAAATAGTAATACGTAGTTTAGAGGAAAAACGAAACGTAGAAAATTGTGTGAAAAACTCTAAATTTAGAGATACTGAGATTTGTTTTTCATTTCGTTGAGAAGTCAGTATGATTGTAAATGTACATATAAAGAGACAGGTCACTAATATTTATCTATGGAGATACAGATGTTGTAGATGAACACACTGACATTGAAAGCAAGTGATAAAAAATGGATTTCGATTGACATTTTAAAAAATTGTGCAATTCGAACGTTGAACTCATAAAACAAGTTTGACTAGTTTGATTAAAATTCAATAATGCAAATAATACACCCGAAGCTTATAAATAATAGACATTATAATCGGTATATTAATACGTATTAGTGAAGTATAAAATTCCGGAAAATATGTAAGTAAAAATGTGTGAGAAAGTAAATGGGAAAGATGATAATAAGGGAGAGGATTAAGAGTTAGCTGAATAATTTTTCTGACGTCTTCAAGTTTTTCTTTATCATTCTTATAAAAATCATTGACGTACAAACTAATTTATCTAAATTAATTATTAATTTTACAAAAATAAATGTCAGATAAATAATAACGTATAATGATGAAAAAAGTAATATTTAATAAAAATTAGGCGGAAATGAATGAAATTTTATAACAAAATTTAAGGAGCTATTTCCAAGGATTTAATGAAAAGAGCTCATAAATTTTTCTCCTCTATAATCTCCGCATTCTTTGAATATAAATCAACAAATGTGAACAATATTCGGAGAATAGTATATATCATGAATAGCTATAGAATCGAAATGCTGACAATATAAATTCTCTTGTTAATAAAAATAATATTTTGACGGTAATATATAACGTTCTGACGACAATACATATATACTAGTAATACCCCTTACGTTTAATATACGATTAAAGTTCATTTAATTTGAAGAAATTATTTTCATTCTTCAATATGTTTATAAACTCTACCACAACTAAGACAAGTTACTATTACTAACTGATAATTTAATTAAATATATATATAAGAAATAATTAATTGATTTATTATCAACAGTTGAAGATAAAAAATAAATACATACTTGTAATCTTATATATTTAGTTATTTTTTTCTTGATATAAAAAGTGGTATGAATTTGTTGTTCAATTATTACAAGATTGATGAAATAAATAATTCAATTAATGAATTTGATTCAACTTAATTGTAAGCAGGAAAATATGTTAGGGCCATTGTGATTCATCAATGAACACATCATATAATTTTCACGTGCCTATTTTTTTAGGTAGAGAAACATCTTTATCGTACAGATATATGAAATAAATAGTTGTATGAACATCAATAAGTGATGATGTGTGTCTTATCATTCCCTAAATTCTACGAATATTAAAATAGAAAAGTGCTTTGGTAAGAAACCCGTTGACAAATACAAATGTCTGTACACTTGATACAGAAGAATGAAAGAATGTATTCTGGAACATTGAAGAAATTAAAGTTTACTGATAAAATATTTTATTAAAACCATTGCACCCAAAGTATATTATTCTTTTGAAAAAATGAAATTTTTGAACTAAAATGATTAATCATCAATACAATGTTAATTCACTTCATTTAATTTAATCTAAAACATTTCAAAATACTTTGAAATTTTACATGATATTCTTAAAATATAATAATTGATCAAGTGAGTAACAGTTGAATGAAGAAAATCATGCTTCAGATAATAATAGTGAAAAAAAAATATTTAAAATGAGTTACCTTAGATCTCAAGATTACTGATCCAATGCAGACTTGGTAGACGCAGGTAACAAGAAATATAACAATAAATAATTTGCTTTCCGTCATTTTTAAATAAACCAATTTGATATAAGTTATTATCCAACTAATATGGTAATATTAAATATTATTCCCACTTAAAAATGTCCGTTTATTGGTAGATATGAATTACGTGAGATGTCAAAACAAGTATCAATCTAGAGCTTCAATGTCTCACCTCGACTTCTTGTGGAAAGTGAAAATGTGGTCTTGATATCCTGGGTTTTTAAGGTCTGCTACTACGCCTCTTGGGCTTTGGAGGGAGGTCAACTATGTTTGATGACAAACCACAAGAAGTAGATGAAATTTTGGTGATAAGGTAAATCTTCCTACATAAAGATGGACGGATAGAATTAGTGGAAATGTTTTAGGTAAATAAAGATAATGTCAGTCTAGCTAATTGATTGAATATTTCACCAAATTTTTATCAACCTCAATGAATTAATAACCAAATTATTGGACAAAAGTGTTAAGTTTATTCAATAATGAAGTTAAAAAAGACTATACCATTTCGAAAAATGATGAATCAATGGTCTTAGAAGGATCATTTTCGTCTAATGATTCATCAAAACCAAGATAATTTTATGGTAATTTCATGTCACAGGTGTGTTACACCTTTTTAACATAATTAATTATTTTAAAAAGATTGACCATTTATTTAAAATATTCATTGTAAATGGTTTATAGTATTTCATCATTATTATATCGAATAAAAGATCAAATTGATTCATAGGAAAAGTATATCTTGAGTTAAATTGAGATAAAACCCTACTGAATTATATGAAGTAAAATGTGAAATAATTAATTCATTTTTAATTCCGTGAAATCATCATGAAAATTCCCTTAGTTCTCTATCATATTACTCATTCTTATAATTTCATCAATGAAAAAAATCCATATGTTAGAAAACTTCTATTAGTGTTGATTGAAAAAAGCACCAAGTCATTGAACGTCATACTCACGAACAATTGTTCTTTTATAGAATAAATATTGTTCTATAAATAGAATTCTGAGAATTATATTAATTTATATAATTTTTATAACTATCAGTTGGTGAAAACGTTATGTTTCAAGTCTAAAACTGGAAAATAGATTAATGGAAGATAAATGATGATAAATTAATGTTCTATCAAAAACGAAATCTTCAAAATGGTTTTTTTTTTGTTATCAATGTTCCCAGGAATTTTTTATTCAAAAAATTTATTAAAATATAATTATTTTATTATTAAATTTTTTTTTTAAAAACAAGCAATATTAAAATTTTTTTATTCATTGATGAAATATGTGCAGGAAGACTTTTGTAATATTTGGATATCTATGTCTTTAATGAGATTGATAACAGGATGAATAATTCTTATTAATTATTTAACAAATTAATATGTTATTAATTAATAATCTAAAAATGGTACTTTAAAACTAGATAAGTTTAAACATATTAATGCTTATGAGGCAACTTTATAATTAATTTAAAAAATAATTGATATTGAAATAGATAAAATGACACTTTCCTCATTTCACCAATAGATAATTATTTTTCAATGTCAGTAAATATTTAAACTATCTACTGACAAAAAATTTCCTTTTATCAACAATTGATTATGAATTTGAATAGATATGATGCATTGTTTTCTTTATCAAATAATTAATTTATTCATAAGAGTTTCATTAAATTTGGTGATGCATCAACATTTTTTCTATAAAGATGAATATTTTATTGATGATTATGGTGATAGCTAATCTTATATTGAGAGCTTTGTCTAAAAAAATACTCACATGAATGAACATTTGATTTACCTTGTTTATTGTTGAGGGTTTCATGGCAAGTACAATGATCTAATCTTCTTTACCTCTAAGGTTTTTGATGTTATTGTTATGCTTGTAATTCCAAGTCTAGACCCAGAAATAGACTTAAATGACATCATATTTACCCTCGATTTGTTTCCTCGTTTTGATTAAATCTAAAAAAAAAAATATTTTTATTCAACAATTATCTTTCAAACAATGTTAATGGAGTATACGAATTATTTTTCCATTATAAATCATGATTAATGTCAATATTCAATCAAATTGTTTTTATTTATTTTTGTATTAAAATCAATAACTAAAAATAGAATAATTGAATGTTATTATAATATGTTAGAATATTTAGAACGATTCTAGACCTAATAGAAATAAATTAATTTAATTAAATAGTATTTTAATGACATTTTTTTATAACAATAGAAGTAGTTATTTAGGCATTAGATTTTTCTAAATTTTTATTATCAAATATTCTCAGACATAAAATATTTTTTAATATGAAACATTTATTTACCATTATCTTAATGTTTTTATATTACTTTACGAAAATTTATATATTGTATCCAAAAGAAGAAATAATTTTTTTTAATATGACATGAATTAAAATTGTTAAAGTATTTTTAAAAAGTCATATAAAACCAAGAATCTACGTATGTGAAACTTTATGTCATTTTATAAAATTAATTTACAAATGTTCTTATAATTTATTGTAAAATATTCATGAAAAAAAATATAAAATTCAATCTTAAATAATGAATAAATATATTCAAACGATATAAATTAGTTGAATACACAACACGAACATATAAATGAGGTGATACAGATTTCATAGAAAGAGTTTATTTTACGGATCCTTAAGAAAGTACAATAGTAGTTGGAAACTACTTTCATCCACTTTATATTTCCGGTTAGACGCAGTAATTGCGAGTCCAATTTCCAGTCTTTTCTACTGATTACAGGATAAAATAGAGCACATAGATTTTCGCTAAATATACATCTTTATCAATTTGTTGAATTGTTATTTGAAATATCTTAAGACAGGTCGATTTTTAGTAATGATTATTACTGATATGATAATAATGCATTCGTTTAGTGACAACTTGATCACACATAAATTACACCTTCATGTAAATTGCTGTACGTAAATTAATCGAAGTCTTTAATTTTTTTGTCCAACGAAATTAAATTCATTTTAAATCTTTATTTATTATTTTTTTTTTTGTACTATAAAAAATTTTATTAAGTATCAAAGATATTAATTATTAATAAATACTACTGATTTTTTTTAATTAAAAAAAAAGACTGATTAATGACAAATTTAAATTTTGTTAAAAAAGTTAATTTATCTAAATAAAAAAATGT